AAAAAAAGGATCTGTGCCTCGCTAATATGCTCCCACATGCAGCTGCACGTGTGCCTACTGTATGCACACACACACACACACACACACACACACACACACACACACACACACACACACACACACACCTTTAGATTTAAAGTGGGAAGACGAAGAGAAAGAGGGGAGGACGAACCCCTATTGTCAACTATGGCTATTTGAATTTACACATAACCCAGTTACAGTTCACCCGGTTTTGGACTGTGTGTGTGTGTGTGTGTGTGTGTGTGTGTGTGTGTGTGTGTGTGTGTGTGTGTGTGTGTGTGTGTGTGTGTGTGTGTGTGTGTGTGATGAAAGACAGATGAATGGGGAAAGAAGTGTAGAGAGTGAATGGAAAATAGAGGTCAGTTAAGGAAAGTGAGAGACAAAAGTGAATGGGAGGGTGAGTAAGAAAGGGTAAGTGCAGCCAAAGGGGAAGGAAACAGAGAGCACATGTTCGGTGAAGGAACAATCCAAACCGTTGTCTTTTACGGGGATGTATATAAATAAACTTCTCGCCTTTTCTATTTGCTCAAGTGGGAGGGAGAAGTTGTGAGAGACATGCGATTGTCCTCGGGGAGAATATCAACTCTGTGTTGAGCTTGCATGACACCGATCTCTCCGTCACTAACGCCACACACAGAGGAGCAGGACACTCACATTATAACACGGCGTCATTCACAGCATTTTATTTAAATATGCCATTTTTTTTTAAATGTCATAATCCCTACTCTCAGCCAAAAGGAATACATACTGTATAGGGTTGTAAAATGCAGAACACATTAGACCAAATTTTAGTCTTAGTTTTAATTTCTTTATTCTTGTATTGCTGTAGACCAGGGGTGTCCAAACCTTTTTCACAGAGGGCCACATACAGTAAAATATACAAAGGGATGGGCCACTCACTAGAGGTTTATTGCCTCATAAGTTATAAGTTAGGAACATCAATGAAATGTAGGTAAATTATGGTTGATATTGATACAAAGAAACACACAGCTCTCTGTAGGATTTCAGTTATTGTGTTGTGCTCATTCCTTAAAACAGGAGGCTCAGATTGCTTATAATAAGGGGAAATATGAAGGGTAGATTTCAAGCTTGTTATACAAATTAGTTATTGAGCTTTTTTCAGCAACTTAGATTTGTTAGAAATGGTTTTAAACCGAAAAGTGGGCCTATTAACACATGAATACTACTGAGTAATATATGTTTACATATATATTTATGAAGTACAACCCAAGACGAGCACAAGTTTAATTTGTGGGTCATATTTCATTATACTTTTACAGTCTGCTGAGGGCCGATTAAAAATGACTCGCAGGCCGGGCCGTAGTTTGGACACCCCTGCTGTAGACTACAGGGTCTGAAATGGGAACAAAGGAGTCTGTGACCTTTCTTGGAGGTAATACTGTAGATGTGGGACGAAAGTAAAAGGACACATACTTTTCTGTACTTTTATTCTGGTTTGTCTTTCATACTTTAGCTCTGTATTTTGCTCTCATTCTAAAGGGGACATATCATTCAAAACTTTTTCTGAAGTACCTTTAAACCCACAAACGGGAATAAGGTCAGAAATCATTTTTTGCATTCTTGACCTCTTGACATTTGAAACTATTAGGAAAAGCAATTTGGAGTCTTGAATATCAATATCTGCAATCCATGACAAACTCCACTAAGGCTTCAGAACAGCTACCGGTACTTGGTGTCAGCTTCTTGCAAATATACCATTTTAGACAACAAGGGGTGCTTCCAATTGTGCTCACAACAGTTTGGAAAAGATCCTTCCCTGTCTCTGATCTTGCAAGAAAAGATCCTTCCCTGCAAAATGAGATTTTTAAAGATGTGGTTCCCCAGTTTGTTGTGGAACAATTGTTCCAGCCTGCACAGACCCAGACTTTGACCCCATCAAACACCTCTGGGATGAGCTGAAATGAGATGTGAGCCGGCCTTATTGCCCACCGCCAGTGCAAGACCTCAGTAATTCTCTTGTGGCAGAAAGTCCCCGCAGCCAGGTTCCTAAAACTGCAAAGTCTG